ACACACACACACACACACACACACACACACACACACACACACACACTTTAAAACTTTAGAGACAGGGTTTCTCTGTGTAGCTTCGCGCTTTTCCTGGATCTCTCTCTAGCCCAGGCTGGCCTCGAACTCACGAAGATCCACCTGCCTCTGCCTCCTGAGTGCTGGGATTAAAGGTGTGCACCACCACTGCCCGGCCTAAAACTTTAAAAGAAGGGCAGAATGAGACACTAGAGAAAGGCTCAGTGTTTAAGAGCATTGGCTACTCTTGTAAAGGACCTGAATTCAAGTCCCAGCACCTACATGATGGGTCACAAGCATCCATAACTCCAGTTCCAAGACAGCCCATGCCCTCTTCTGGCCTCCAAGGAGACCAGATAAACAAGTCATGCAAAGACATACGTAACATTGTTTAAAAGGCAGAATGAGCTGGTGCAGAATGACTAGCATGTCTTCCCCAAACTTTCTCCCAAATACTCCTGGGTTCCACAGTCTCCAAGATCATCTTACCTCATTAATACCTCTGTTTGGCCCAAACAGTCCTGCGGTTCTGGTCCCTTACACCTAGGAAAGAAAACCACCCTCTTAGTAAGCAGACAGTAGACGCTCAGGCCAGGAAGGTGGCTCAGCAGTGCAGGCCCTGGAGTCTGATCCCTGGGGAGCCACAGAGGGGAGGAGAATGAACTTCCCATGCTGTCATTTGACCTTTGTACACGTAGCACCCATGCACACCCTGCCCCATATACACAACAATAAACGTAATTATAAAGCAATTAAAAAGACAATAGAGACTCAAGTCCAAAAGCCTTCATATATAAAAGCTTGTTTCAGAACAAGCCTACTGTGGCCCCTCATCCTGGAGGCCCAAATCTGGCCCCCAAGCACAGGGGCTCCACTCCCACCCTTCCCGGCAGCCTCCTCCTCCACCCCAGCTCACCAGTGAGCCTCTCCTGATTGAAACTCCTGAGCTGAGGTTACGCCAGCTTCCCCTAACCACGGTATACCTTCATGTCATGAGTTTCTTTCCTCCAGTCCTTTATAGCTGGGAGTGAGTCTCAAGTAGCCAAACTTTTCTTCATGCTTCTCTGCTCACCCGGATTCTGTGTTCTCCCCTCTCCCTGAGCCCCTCCTTCCTCACCCCGTCACTCACCCCTGGGTGCAGTTCTCATGGCAGGGCCGACATTCATTCTGAGCGTCTGGGTACTTGTAGATTGGACCCTTGGCACCTAGGATTCCATGGGGGCAGCTGTTCACACAGTGGGGCCCGTCTCGAAAATGGGCACATTGAGCACAAGCGTCAGAGCCCTGAGCAGAGAGGATGGTTGAGAATGAGATCTCAGTGTTAATTCCAGCCTTCCCCGTGAGGACCGGCCCATCCCTTCAGGATCCTCCATGTACAGATTCCAGGGTTCTCTGACTTCCCTGGGCTGACCTGGAAACTTGGCCAGGTCATTCCCTAGACATCCCGGTCTCCCTTACGGACCCCAGGGCTGCTACTGTACCGGGCCATCGCATGTGCTGGCGCCCTCCATGGGTAGGCACTCGGGGTGGCAGGAGAAACATTCACCGTCCTGAGCGAACTCACGAGGGTCCCTGCAAGGGGTGACGCAAAGAGGGGTCACTTCCGCGTTCTGACCGTCAGGCCCCGATCCTGTAATGAGGACCCTCTACTTCATGCCCACCGAGGCACAGGACAGAGAGCTGTCTACAGAGCCAGGGGTGGCGGCTCACATCTGTAACCCCAGCACTTCGGAGGCTACGGCAGGGAGTTTTCCATGAGTTCAAGGCCTGCCGAGATGACAGAGTGTCTAAAAACAATAGAGGACCAGGTGTGGTAGCACACACATTTAATCTCAGTGCTCAGGAAGCAGAAGCAGATCTCTGGGTCCTGTCTGTCTGTCTGTCTGTCTCTCCACTTCCTCAACTGCTCGCTCAAGCCAGACATGGTGGCTCATAGCTGTAATCCCACCATTTGGAAGATTTAGGTAGAAGGATTTAAGGCTAGCCTGGGCTACAGAGCAAGTGGGCTACAGGGAGAATGAGGGGGGGTGGGAGGAGGAGGGAGAGGGAGGAAGAAGAGGGAAAGAGAAAAAAAAACACAGCACCTGAGCTGATCCCCCACCCCCCGGGCCTTACTCCCACCCTCTTGGCCTTCTCCACACTGTACCCCTTCAGAAAGTTGCAGTGAGTCACACAGACACCTTCTCGGCTGTAATTTCGACAAGACAAGCACTGACCAGGGCCTGGGCCCCAGCATCCCCCAGAGGAGCACAGTGGATCACACACTTTACCCTCTGCCACTGGAAAAAAACAAAACAAAACAGACGCTTAGTTAGGAAAAGACCCAGGACTCCCAGGAAGCCTTCTGAACTCTTCCGTGTGGCCTCCGCCCTCACACCCACTTCTCACTGGTTCCATCTCTCAACCCACCCCACTCTCAGGGTCCTCCCGCCTCCCAGACCGCCCGTTCTCGCCCTGAGTCCTCTCTCTCACCACAGTCTCTTCGAGGCCGATTATACTTGATGTCAAGCCTGTCGTCTGGAGGCCCCCGGAGCAGTCTGGTCCAGTTCAGAGAGTGGTGGTAGCAGAGCTGCTGATTGGCACTTATGTAGACGCGCCCAGCACTGATCTCCTTCAGGGACCGGAGGCCCAGTGACGTGACATTCAAGTTCTTCATGATCAACAAGGAGAAGCCCCGGCTGGAACAAGGAGGTAGAATTAGAGGGCGGACTACAAAGGGAAAATTAGACAGACAGGGGATTTATTTTCACTCATCAACTTTGCTCCAGGTTAAGTTAGAGCCGTGGCAAGGGAACCCCCTCTTTTATCAGGCCTGTTTTCTGAGACAGGTCTTACTGCATTTCTGAGGCAGGTCTGGAATTCACTGGGTAGCCCAAACTGGTCTTGAACTTGCTGTGAGCCTCCTGGGTCAGTCTCCCCAGTGTTAAGATCACAATACCACATTTGGTCTTCCCCGTCCCTTTTTGCCTTCACTCTATCATGTTAGCGACTACTGGGGCCTCTTGGTTGAGAAATGCACTGTATTTCATAAGAAGCGCCCATCTCAGTGTCTGGAGACGGTACCACCTCCTTACACACCCTTACTCACTTGTAGAGGCTTCTGCCCCCGATGGTTGTCAGGTTGGAAAAAACACTGAAGTTGTGCATGTGAGGAGGCCAGGACTGGATGTTTAGGTACCCTGAAGGGTGGGAGAGAGGCATATAAGGGAGAGTCTTCTCCTCCCCGTCAGATTCTCCGTCACCTGCCTCACTGTGCTTTGGAGTGTGACTTTTCCTGAGTGGTGTAACGGTAATGCACGCCAGTGGGTCATCTGCTCCTTCTAGCCAGGGAAGCCACTCTTGCTCCTCACCTGTGATCTCCCGTACTGTCCTGAAAACGTTGAGCTTCTCTGGGTCCAGTGCAGGGATCTTGTGCCAGGGGTCTCTGGGGGGTGGGGGGAACAGTAAAAACTTCTCAACAGCCGGGCACAGTGGCGCACGCCTTTAACCCCAGTACTCGGGAGGCAGAGCCAAGCAGATCTCTGTGAGTTCGAGGCCAGCCTGGGCTACAGAGCGAGTTCCAGGACAGGTTCCAAAACTACACAGAGAAACCCTGTCTGGAAAAACCAAAAAACAAACAAACAAACAAAAACCCAAACTTCTCAACAAAGTAGAGGTGTGGCACTCAGTGGTAATAAACACACCATACTTCAACACATGGTTTCTAGGTGTCATTTCCCCCCAGTGCTGGGATCAACCCCAGGGCTTTAAATACGCTGTTGGCTCCTAAATCAGAGTCTTCATCTAAAGGAAATAGAACTCCTTGGAGAGATGCTGGTGGTGGGGGAAATATAAATGCATGTGCCTGGAGCATCTCACGTCAAAAAAGAAAAGAAATGCCCCAGGGCTGTTCACAACTGTCTATAACTCCAGCTCTAGAGAGTCAGATGCCCTCTTCTGGTCTCCTCAGGCACTGCATGCACACAGTGCACAGACATACGTGCAGGCAAAACACCCACACACATAAAATATACAAACTAGGACAGAGGTGACAGCACACACCTAAAACCTCAACACTAATTCTTGAGAGGCTGAACAAGGCTGACAAGATCAAGGCCAAACTGGGCTACAAATGGAGACCTTATCTCATTGGAAACCAAAGAACAAAACTGAGGTATGGGGTGTGTCTACCTGTGTGTACAGGGAGGAAAAGAGAGAAATGATTTTTTTAAAATGTTCAAAAACAAAAATGTAGCTGGGCATGATGGCGTACACCTTGAATCTCAGCATTTGAGAGGCAGAGGCAGGTGATCTCTGTGAGTTTGAGGCCAGCCTGGTCTACAGAGTGAGTTCCAGGACAGCCAGGGCTACACAGAGAGACCCTGTCTCGAAAAAACAAACAAACAACACTAGCTGCTCTTGCAGAAGGCCTGGGTTTGATCCTTAGCAACCATCTACACCTCTAGTTTCAGGGGATTCAACACCCTCTTCAGAGCTCTGTGAGCACCAGGTGCATGCATTGGTGCAGAGACATCTATGCAGGTTAAATACTCATAAAATAAAATAATAATGTTTTCATTATTTTTAGCCGTGTGTGTGTGTGTGTGTGTGTGTGTGTGTGTGTGTGTGTGTGTGTGTGTGTGTTTGCACCCACTGAGGCTAGGGGCATCAGATCCTCCAGGAGCTGGTGTTACCGACAGCTTTGAACCTGTGGAGGAGCAGTATGTGATCTTAACCACTATGCTGTCTCTCCAGCTTCCTTTTGTTTAAATTTAAGGAAGAACTTCTAGAAAACTTGAGCTGGTCTACACACTGGTCTACACTGTCCCTGTACCATATCATTCTTCAGGGTTATACTCTGTTGCTTAGGGATGCCCTTGAGGGATGCAAGCTCCAGGTAGAAGGTGGAGTTATGCATTCTCTCACGTCCTTTGTAGCTCCTGAGATTTCATGCTTACATTTCTAGTCAGATGCATGGAAGGATTTAAGCCATTGAAACGAGTTGTGTGGTGGATGGGGCTGGCGGTCAGGGTGGAAAAGCAGTCTCTTACCCGTTGAGGCCAGTGATAAGGAAGTCCAGGTTGCCCAGGATCTTGGTGCAGTTCACGAACCCATCAATGTTGCTGGAGTCCACAGTCTGGAAGCGGCTTCCAGAGCCTGTCCCCTCACAGGCTGCAAACACGGAACATTCTCAGTGCTGGGTTCTGGGTCACCTCAGAAAAGGCTGGGTATAATTTCTCACCGCGTCCTGCTCACCTTTAGGGCACAACCCTCCACAAGGCTCACAAATCTTGAGTCCATTTTTATCTACTTCCATCTTGTCGGGAGGGCAAGCCCTGACACAAGATGTCTGATCCACCACAAAGTTATCTAGGAAAGAGGAGGTCACCATCAGAAATGAATAACACTGCCAGCTGCGAAGACGCTTCGCCTGTTTCCTCCTCTTCACTCCTACCCCCTCCTCTGCACTAGCCGGCCCCAGCCCCAGCCTAGGGTCCCTCAGGTCTGTCTTCTAGATTTGCCATCTCCTTGTTCTTAAGATGGCCTCAAGGTGCTGGAGAGATGGTTCATCGGGTTAAGAGCACTGGCTGCTCTTCCAGTGGTCCTGAGTTCAATTCCCAGAACCCACACGGTGGTTCACAACCATCTTTAACAGAGTCTCATGAGATCCAATGCCCTCCTCTGCTGTGGAAATATGCATACAGACAAAACACCCACATACATAAAGTACATAATAAATCTTAAAAAAAAAAAAGATGGCTTCAAACCCTTTTTTAGAAAAAGATTGGGCTGGAGAGATGGCTCAGTGGTTAAGAGCACCGACTGCTCTTCCAGAGGTCCTGAGTTCAATTCCCAGCACCCACATGGTGGCTCACAACCATCTGTAATGAGATCTGGTGCCCTCTTCTGTATACATAATAAATAAATCTTTAAAAAAAAGAAAAAGAAAAAGATTTATATATATACATGTGTATACACACACACACATATTTTGGTTTTTTTGAGACAGGGTTTCTCTATGTAGCTTTGGCACCTTTCCTGGAACTCACTCTGTAGCCCAGGCTGACCTCGAACTCAGTGATCCGCCTGCCTCTGCCTCCTGAGTGCTGGGATCAAAGGCGTGCGCCACCACCGCCCGGCTAATTATATATTTTTAAGATTTATTTTTGTTATGTTTAATTACATGTATGTGCATCTGTCTGTGTGTGTACAGGTGCCCTTGAAGGTCAGAGGCATCAGATACCCCTGTGTGGTGCTGGGAATCAAACTCAGGTCTTTAGGAAGAACCACTGAGCCATCTCTCCAGCCTCCCATTTATTTTAGGTGTATATATAAGTGCCTGTATGTGTGTATGTGTACCACATTTGTGCCTGGCACCCAAGGAGTCCAGGAGAGGATGTCAGATCCCCTAAACTAGAATTGTAGGGTACTATGGGCTGTCTGATATGGGTATTAAGAACTGAGCCCTTTGGAAGGGCAGCAGTTGTTCTCAGCTGCCGAGCCATGTTTCTAGCCCTGGCATTAAACTCCTCATGTAGCTGAGGATGGCCATGAGCTCCTGATGCTCCTGTCTGTGTCTCTGAGTACTGAGATTACCAGTTTATGTGGTATTGGAGCTTTCAAACCCAGGGCTTTGTGCACACTAGGCAAGCACTTTGTCAGCTAAGCTGCGTTCACAGCCACCTTTGTTCTTAGTGGTTCCAAGTGGCCCCAGCCAGCCTGGAGGAAGCAGTCGGGGGCACTGACATAGACTGTCACTCACTCGGTGAGGTCACATGATCACATCAAGTTAGTTAACATCTAACTTGATCCCTTTCCGCATCCCAAACTTTTGTGGAGAATCTTGGGTCCCCGATCACTGTCCCTTCCCCTCACACACTTACGGGGACAGCTGGCAACACAGACCCCTCCATACTGATACTTGGTGTGGGGGTTGGGTTCCAGCTGGAACGTCAGCTTGTTGTACACAAGAGGCTGCGGACACCGGGGCACGCAAGCTCCGCTGTCATTGAAGTGTCGGCAGGCCTGGGAATGAAAACGGGTCCTGAAATTCGTGTCTTCTAAACCCCCCTCCTCCTCCCCAAAGCCTGTTACCCCCATTTCAGAGCACAGGCGGACGGCACCACTGCGTACAAAGCAGTCTGTGTCCTGGGGTCCGGAGCAGCCTCCTGCGCACTCATCATGGCAGCACTGGTTGGGGTTGGGCCCAAAGCAATGGCCGTTACACTGAGGCGCGCAGATGGTCTTGGTCACTAGGAAAAGAGTATGACAGGAAGGCTCAATTCAGAGGCCGCCGCCGCCGCCGCCGCCGCCGCCGCCGCCGCCGCTCATTTTGACTGTTAGGTTTGACACACGCAGGGTTTCACGGGGAGGGGTACGAGAGGGTGTGAGCTGTAGAAGGAAAACTCAAACCCACATGTCTGGCAGTCATCTGGTCCAGGTCCCCAGCATCGCCCCTTGCAGGCCTCATGACAGGGTGGACCTAGAAGGGAAGCAGGGCCATCAGGGCTGAGAAGGGCTGGCTTGAATCAACAGAGTATGATGTCAGCACACAAGCACCTCAATCCCAGGAAGCAAGGGCCCTGGGCACTGTCCCTCCCTCCCTGCCCTTGGAGAGCAGGGCTGGGCTCCAGCGAACCTGTCAACAAGGGGCGGATCCACCTCCCCCACACCACCCACCGGGCAGCTGAAGGGGAGGGCCTGGGGCAGGTGCCATCCCGGGAACTCGGTTCCTCCCAGACAAACATCTGTGCCTGGGTACAGGAGCATAGACTAGGTCAGGGCAGCAGGGAGATGTCCTATTGGCAAGAGCAGTCGGGGTTAGTCCAGATCTGTCTCCCTGCTCAGCATCCAGACAGCTTTGGCCTCTTTTCCGGATACACGGGTTTGGATTCCAAGAGACTGACCTGGTCCTTCCTGGCAGGCAGGCTCTTGGGTCAAGGGCCTAGGGTAACTGTCTGGGGAAGGTGGGTTCAGATAAAGGATCTAGGAGGGATGGGAAAGGAGTCATTCTGGTTTGCTGGGGCAACGGGAACCAGCGTGATCACCACCACCACTTACAGTTTCTACCATTGTTCTTCACCACGATATCAGCCCCCTGGACCCTCACGATGTCCTTCCAGTCAATTGTGTCCATATGGCAAAGTCTGTCGTTCTTCTCAATGTAAACACCCCCTGACAGAATCTCTGCAGTGGGAAGAAAAGCCACGGGCTGACGACCACAGCACAGCTCCTCTTCTGTACTTTCCTACCCATCCGAAGGACACTCAGACCCCGGGGATGGGGAGTGTGTGTGTGGGGGGGGTCATGGTCCTGACCCACAGGTGGTCCAGTCAGACTCAGGCTTCAGGAAAAGCTGGCCCCAGGAGAGGAGGAGTCAGAAACTCCTGCCTCTCCAGACACCTGTCTAGATCTGGTTTAGCCGGTGGGGGAGGGGCAGAGAAAGAAGGACAGGCCATCCTGAGTCAGTCCCCTAGGCTCACCTGAGTGTTTTCCAAGCAGCTGGGACAGGGAGAGCAGAGGGTTCCCAGGTGGTGTGTAACCCCCTGCTCTCTTCCAGCTGGTCGGGGTAAAGGGAAGACCCCAGGGAAAGAGGGGTATCCAGCGACGCTGGTACTTCAAAGTTGGAGGAATGGGCAACAGGTCCAGTTCCCGGTCCCGCCCCACAGACGCCCCCAGCCCCCTCCTGGGGCCCTCTACTGCTTAAAGGACAGTGGACTTGGAGACCACCAAGGTAGTGGGCAGCTAAAATGAGCTTAGAGTGAGCCATCCTGGGTCATCCTCCAGGGCCTGCCTGTCAGCAGGGAGGCTCGGAGGGCAAGACCAGAAGGGATCCTCCTCGGACACTAACCAGTCAGCTGGGTGAGGTGGAGCTGGCGCAGAGCGTGGCTGGAGTTGGTGTTATAATTCAACATGACAAAGAGGGCAAACTTCCCGTCGTAGACCTGGGTTCCCCGTACCACGCGGAGGTTCGGCAAAGGTAGCGTGGAGAATTCGTTCATGGCCACGAGGACGTAGCCCGTCACCTCTCGGATCCACTGTGATAGAACAGGTCACGTCAGTGAACGGACAACGAGGTGAGGCTCCTTTCTCCTTGAAGACACTGAGGCAAGTGCTCTACCACTGAGCCACAGTGGCCCTTTTTTTGTTTTGTTTTGTTTTTTGGTTTTTCGAGACAGGGTTTCTCGGTGTAGCTTTGTGCCTTTCCTGGAACTCGCTTTGGAGACCAGGCTGGCCTCACAGTGGCCCTCTAACCCCAGTCCTGAACTCATTGGTCTTGAACTCCTGGGCTCCATCAAGCATTGCTCCACCCCAGCTTCCTCAGTAGATGAGTTTCCTCAGGTGCATGTCACTGTACCCAACCTCCCTAAGGACTGATCCCAAGATCTCATGCATGTTCTGACAGCACCCTGCCACTGAGCTATAACCCCAGCTCTGGATTCTCTCTAGTTTCTAATTTGTAGGGAATATGATGTCACACTACTGTGCCACCTTTGTGAACAAACAGCCACAGAAATGACTACGGACCTCATTTCCTACCTATACTTCTTCTCAGAGTCACTCATAACAGGAAGGCTCTGGTTAGTCCCTCCCTCATCTCTCCAGGTGCCTCTGGGTCCTTGGGTGGCTTACTGTTGTAGAATACTATTTTCAGATGTGTTCCTTTTGTTTATGTTGCGTTTGTTTAGCTCTGTGAAGCTGTGTTACTGTGCCTGTCTAACATACCTGATGGTCTAATAAAGAGCTGAATGGCCAATATCGAGGCAGGAGAAAGGATAGGTGGGCTGGCTGGTAGAGAGAATATGTAAAGGGAGAAATCTGGGAGGAGAGATCTAGAAACAAGAGAGGAAAGAGGAAGACATCAAGGGCCAGCCACCCAGCTACACAGCAAGCCACAGAGTAAGAGTAAGATTTACAGAAGTAAGAGAACGGGAAAAGCCCAGAGGCAAAAGGTAGATGGGATAATTTAAGTTAAGGAAAGCTGGCCAGAAACTAAGCCAAGCTAAGGCTGGGCATTCCTAATTAAGCGTGAGCCTCCGTGTGTGGATTTATTTGGGTGCTGGGTGGTGGGCATCCCCCTAAAGAGCCAAAGACAAACTAACAACAGCTTACTATACAGTTCTGCTTACCCGAACACCACCTGTTCTGTCCCTTTCTTGTGGCCAGCGTCTACATATCCCTGGTTATAGGACCAGAACATCCATCCCACCCATCATAGTCACTGTCCTCCTAAGTACGCAGGTTTGAGCCTTAGGATTGCTGAATGCAGCAGAGGTGGTCCTGAGAGAGGGAGAGGTAAGCGGAACCGAGAGGGGAGAGGTCGAGGGATGGGCTGCGCATGTTCACCTTCAGGAAGGAAAGGTCGGCGTTGTGTCCCGTGAGCACAATCTCAAGGTTGCCCATCACCACCTCGCACCTCTCATACAGCTTGTACAGGGTCTGGTACTGATTCTCAGCATCGCCAGTCACACTCAGCCCATTCAGAGTCCCAGGACACACTGTAAAAATGGAGGTAGGGTAGGTAAGCTAAACATCCCCTCGGTGAAAAGCCCCTCAGTTGCCCTCAGTTACATTCAGTTGCCTCTAACCCTGCCCACTAGAGGCCTCCGAGGCTGGGGCCTCCTCACTTCTCTTGCTCTCCTCACCAGAGTCCCCACTGTGCTAATTTGGGCAACGAGGGGTTAATACAGAAGACATGAGGGGACTTTTCCTCCCCTAGAAAGGACATGTGAGGCAGGGATCAAACTTTGATTACCCACTCCTCCTCCACTAAGGCACTCACTTCTCTGCCCCCACCCTGCCTCTCTCCAGGCCCTGGAATAAACATCTCTTTGGGGCTAGCACACAGTCCCTATTGTGTCTACGGAGGGTGGGATGGGGGCAGAGCCTGGGGCCACAGTGCAGCCCACAATGAGGCGATTCTATCCAGGAGGAGGGGGCTGCCCCACCCCATCCCAGACACCCCATCCTTAGCGGCACCCCCCTCTTACCCCGGAGCTTTGGGCTCCGACAAGTGACCTCACTGGAGGGAGAAGCCCTGGTATAGGATGGGGGTCAATGGGAGCTTTGTCTCCAAAGCTGGATAAGGAGCTGGCGGCCTCCCCCTTCCTGAACTCTGGTTTCCCTTCCCCTAAGCCAACATGCTCCAGCTCCCCCCAGCATCCCTGTGCAGCCCCGGAGAGAAGCAGAACAGACTCTCCAGTACAAAGCCTTCTTCCCAAACTCACTGTCAGCGGGATTCATTAAAAAGACCTCTAACTGTGGGCAATGCTCGCCAGCAGCAGGCACTCCAGGGGAGGACCCAGAAGAGGGGCCAGCACACTTCAGTCTTGGGCCTCCACTTTGTAAAAGGGGAGGGCAACGGGCCATAGGAAGTCTCGGCCCTTGGAGTTCTCAGTCTCTTCCCTCCGACACAGCGGAAGAGCACATGGAGAAGGTGGGTGTGAGGGGTACGAACCAATGAACTACCTGTCCTAACCTCCCTTCCCTGAGGCGGGGCAGGAGCGCAGCATGGGGGGGTCAGAGGCCCCAGCTCCCCCCCCCTCTAGTCTGACGCCTTCTCCAGACCCTCTTCCCTATCTCCAGGATGGAAGGAGTGGGTCAATCCCCGCAAGGAGGCATAAACAGGCTAGGAGCTCCCAGGGGCACCCCGGAACCCCAGGGTCCTTGGGCTGAAGTGGAAGACTAGGAAGGTTAGTCATTTCTGAAACAGCCCCACCCATGTCCCCTTCCCGGCAGGACACCCCTCTTCCACGTTAAGGTGCCAACCCTTCTTCCCCAGATAAGGGAGGAGGAGCTAGGATCTCCGTACAGGGAAGCGATGTGCATATGAGCACGGTCACACCGCGGCGCGCGCGCCATGGCACACAGACATGTACACGGTTGGTTCCCCGGCCTCAGAAACATCCATTGGTTTCCCCCTGGGCTCCGCCCTGGGAAGTGTTACAAGTGGCCAGTCCATGCCCACCTGCTCACAGTACCGTGTACACTTTGTGTCTTAACGCTTTGCAAGGCCCCGCAGGTCTCAGTTACCTGCCTCCCTGAGGGTAAAGTCCACATTTCACAAACAGGGGCAAAGGGCCGGGGCAGGACAGGAGTATAAACAACCACAGGAGGAACCAGGCAACTCGGGGGACCGGGGCAAGGCAGCAGGGGGAGCTGCTGTCTGTGCGCGGGACCTGGACCCAAAGAGGAGCGGTTCAGAGCCCTTCTCATGTAGAGAGCACGGACTAGGGTTGGACAGAGCAAGCACATATCCAGCCCCTCAGGAGCCTCCCCTCCACTTTGCCCCAGCCACACACAAAGTGGACAAAGGGGCTATACAAGGCTTGAGACAGGGCCGGATGCCCAGAGGCTGCAGGATCGAGATAAAGGGGAGAGACAGACCCGACCACGCCTGCTCTCTGCCTCTTAGGGAGGGTAGTGGGAACCCCGGACTCCCGGGTTCCTGGCTAAGGAGGGTGCGGGGGGGGGGGGCACAGTCAGATGGAAGAGTGATCCGGGCACTCCCCGGCCCCTCCCACTCCAGTCTCCAGACCACCCCCTCCACCAGCTGGGAGTGTTCACATCTCAAGATCCCAGGGGCTAAATTTAGGCCCAGCAACTGTGGGGATAAGCACAGGTGGTTTCTCCCACTCCCACTCTGGGGAAGGGGCCCTGGCTGTACCCTAAGCTGAGACCTGGGGGCGGGGGAAGGAGCGAGATCAACGGGACCCTAATTACACCAACTCCAGAACTCTTCAGGTGTCCACGGTCCCAGGGACGCCCACAGGAATGGGCTCAGAGGGCGCGGAATAGGAGGCATGGAGAAGCACAGTCTGGGCTCTGTCTGAAGTTAGACAAAAAAATTGAATGGGGGAAGGGCCGAAGTCGGGTCTAGGAGCGAGTTCACGGAATAGAATGTCCAGAAGGAGGGAGAGGTGACCTCAGACGGGAGAGAGAAACAGGTCTAATCGTCCTTCCCCCGACACCTCCAGCTCAGGGTATATGTCCCGGGAATAGTGTAGAATATAGCAGATGCTCGGCATGTTAACTGAATCGACCTGGGTATTGGTAAAGAGAAGTTGGTTAACTTGGGGACCAGCTTATCTTGTGGGAAGGCAGGCGGGCAGCCTCCGGGAGGCCTCTCTGATGTCACCTGGACTTGGCCCTCAGGTTAATCTCAACCTTCTCTGGACAGCCCCGCTCACGGAAGAGGAGGTGCCATTCTTGTTTTTCCAACATCAGAAAACAACAACTTCCAACCCTCGCCTAGCTCCGCCCTGTCGGCAAAACAACGAAACTGGGGGGTTTGCTGAAACCTGGGGTGGGGTGCGGGCCAGGGAACCCGAGAGCAAACGGAGACCCTTCGAGCCGAGGCTCCTCAGGTTTACAGAAAGGTCCCTGCGCGCCCTCTCTGCAAGGCTCTCAAAACGACTGTTCACATCAACCTGATCAGAAAAAAAAAAGACCCATCAGAGGGTCAGCGACGCCCTGGGGAGAAGGGTAGGCATCCAGGAATGCAGTCCCTGCCCAGCCCACTCCGAGAACCGAGCCACGGGGTCCCCTTTCGGGCGGCTCCTGTAAACTCGGGGTCGCACACACACACACCCCCGCGCCCAGTTCAGCGCGTCAGAACCCCGAACCCCTGGCCCAGGGAGGGTCTGCGCGCGCTCCGGTCGCGCGCTCCGCTTCCAGCCTGCCTGCCGGGGCGCCCCGCGCCGCTTACCTGCCTGGGAGCTGCCCATCTCGGAACCCCGGGCCAGGCTGAGAAGGAAGCCCAGCACCTGCAGCGTCCCAATCGCCCTCATGACTCCAGCGGAGGGTGAAGGGAGTCCCAGCCGAGTCTGGCCCGGGGTGGGGGGGGGGCCTGGATTAGGAGGACATCGAAGCGACAGCCACCTGAGCAGCGCGCGAATCGGTGGGGCGGCGGCGGCGGCGGCGGCCGCGGAGGTTGCACTCTGCAACTGGAGCCGGGAGTCGGAGTCCGGAGCGGGACGGCAGGGGAGGGTGTCTGTCTGGGAGGGAGGGAGGGAGGGAGGGAGGGACCGAGGGAGGGAATGAGGGGGAAGGGGGTGTGAGTCACGGCCGCGCCCCCTCCCGTGCGAGGCTGGAGTCGCGGTGGTTGTGAGCCTGGGACACCCGCCCGGAGCTCGCCCGCCCCGCCAGCCCGCGGCTTGCTTGGCCGAGAGGGTCAAGGAGGGGGGGGGGGTCTCTCTCTCTCTCTCCAGCAATTTCCCCCGGAGATGGCTAAGAGGATAGATCAAGAATCCAAATGTCCCCAGGCCGGGGGAAAGGTAGTGAGCGCGGGTGGGGAGCGCGCCCAAGCCCAGCCCCCTGGAAGCCGGCCTCGCCCACTAACCAAATGTCTCAACTCCCCGAGCCGGTTGGATCACTTGAGGGATTTTGTTTTTTTTCCTTTGCGAGTGTGAATATTTCTATTTTTTTTTGAGTGGGAGGTTGTTTTTTGAGCCGAGGCCGTTCAGGCCACTTCGGTTTCCCCGGGACGTAAAGCGCCCCCCATAACATAACTCATGTCTCCGGCCCTGGAACCCGAGCCCCGGAGACCGCGTGAAATCGCGCTGTCTCCGGCCGCCGCTTCCTCCCGCAGACCCGGCGCCGGCCCGGCCTCTCGGGGGGATTTGCCCAGGGGGGCGGGGGTGGTTTCCAGCCTGGGAACAGACCTTCCCTGCCCGGAGCCCGCCTTCCCCGTCTGCCCGGGGAGGGGCTCCCGCACCTGTCGCCGTCCCCGCTGCTGCCCCCCACGGCCGCCGCGGAGAACAGCTGTCTCCGGGGCACCGCGCCGTCCGGGCGGCCGCGGTTCCCGCCTCGCTTCCGCGGACCCGGAGGGGACGGTGAAGAGGGAGGGGCGCGGAGAGGTCCCTGCGGACGGCGCCCACGAGCCGCACGGCTCCCGGGACCCCCCGGCACGCGCGGAGGAGGTGCGGCGGACCCCGGGTTGCTAGGTCCCGGACGGGTCCGGCCGGCGCCCCCTGGTGCCAACCCGTGGCAATTCACATCTCTTAATTAGTCGGCATTCCAGATTTTGCCCGAAGAACTTTCCCTCGGGGTAGACTACTTAGCTAAACTCCTTTCTTTTCTGTTGTTTATTTATTTATTGCTTTGGTTTGTTTTGGTTTGATTTTAGAGACAGGGTCTCACATAGCTCAGGCTGGCCTCGAATATATTAAGAGGCTGGCTGAGACCGGTGTCTATCTGAGACTCGGAATGATCCTTCTGCTTCCACCTTCCAAATACAGATGTGCACCACCGTGTCCAGCTCTCCCGCTACAACTGTTTTAAAAAAATTGTTTGTTCTTCTTACCGTGTGTATGTTGGGGCGCGCGTGCGTGCTACCACTTGCGCGTGCGTGGAAGCCGGGAGATAGCTTCATGGAGTCAGTTATCTCTTTTCCACTTTTACATGTGGTTGGGGGGATGGCACTCGGGTCAAGATTTCTCCGCAAACGCATTTAAGGTACCAGAAGAAAAGCTGTCGGATGCCCTGGAACTGGGGTTACAAACTGCTGTGAGCTGCCATGTGGGTCTGGGGACTCGAACCTTGGTTCTCTGGAAGAGCAAGTGCTCTTCACAACTGAGCCACCCCCTCCCACCTCCCCTCCCCACCGCCTCCATCCCTCGCCCTCTTGCAACATTTCTTTAAACTTGCTCCTGAACGGATGTGTGCAACCTAAGGGCTTATCTACTCCTGGCCTTTCCTGGACCTCTTACATATCGGTCACACTAGTATAAGAAAGAGCACAACCGTGCCGGGCGGTGGTGGCGCACGCCTTTAATCCCAGCACTCGGGAGGCAGAGCCAGGTGGATCTCTGTGAGTTCGAGGCCAGCCTGGGCTACCAAGTGAGTCCCGGGAAAGGCGCAAAGCTACACAGAGAAACCCTGTATCGAAAAACCAAAAAAAAGAAAGAGCACAACCATTGACGGAGGCCGGGTTGAGGCAGGAGGCCAGCCAGTTTAAGGCCAGTCAGAACAACTTAGGGAAACACTGTCACAAAATAGAAGTGTGTGTGTGTGTGTGTGTGTGTGTGTGTGTGTGTATGGTGTTTGCCTAGTACTCTTGAAGCTGTAGCTTCGATTTCCGGTACCCAGACCCAAACCCACAAAATGCATGTGATCCAGGGACGTCACCTCAGCTTTTCAGAACTGGAAACTTCTAAATTTTTCTCCAAATCGATCTCCTGGTGACAGAAGGGGAGGGGCTCAGAATCTGACCCAGGATTTCTTTTGATAGTATACCTGGACTTCATCTGGTCAGATTCAAACTCTTTTCAGGGCTAGGGTGTAGCTCAGTGTTCAAATGTTGCTTGGCTACAGACACTGACTCGGTTTTGATGGACAGCCAGCACAACAATGGAGGCCCGCCTCCGTCAGGTGCCGATGGTTATTTAAGGGTCTCCTCTTCCACCTTCATACCTGAGGGAGCCCACAGAGTTCTCCTAGTGAGAGCTGAGCTTGCTTTACCAGCGGGACTGCATAAGCGGATGACTGGACCACGGGCCTGGGTCCCAGGTGTTTGGAAGGGTCTACACTTGACTGTATCTAGCAAGGGGGAGGCCTTTGCCTCGCCCCCTTGGCATTGTTATAAAAAGCCATTTTGACCCAGGTCCCTCCAGAAGCTATCCTGTGTTTCTGTCTTTCTTCTTCTCACTATCAATGATAATGCCTATCATTCTATCTACAAGTTCCTTATTCCCCTCTTCTCATAGGAACCCTGTAAAAGCTGGGGGCTGGTCACCCACACATACCCCCTAATCAAAGAGCCTTTCAGTGTGGTTAGTGTGCTGGATAGTTTTTGTTTGGTTGGTTTTTTGTTTGTTTGTTTGTTTGTTTGTTTTTTTGTTTTGGTTTTTCGAGACAGGGTTTCTCTGTGTAGCTTTGGTGCCTTTCCTGGATCTCGCTCTGTAGACCAGGCTGGCCTCGAACTCACAAAGATCCACCTGCCTCTGCCTCCCGAGTGTTGAGATTAAAGGCATGTGCCACCACCGCCCAGCAGTGTGCTGGATGGTTGTATGTCAATTTGACACAAGCTAAAGTCATCTGAGAGGAGAGAATCTTAATTAAGAAAATGCCAGCCAGGCAGTGGTGGCTCATGTCTTTAATCCCAGCACTAAGGAGGCAGAGGCAGGTGGATCTCTGTGAGTTCAAGGCCAGCCTGGTCTATACAAAGTGAGTTCCAGGACAGCCAAGGCTACACAGAGAAATCCTGTCTAAAGAAAACAAAAAACAAAAAACAAACAAACAAACAAAAAACACCTCCATAATACCCAGCTGTAGGGCATTTTCTTAATTAGTTATTGATGTAGGCAGACCCAGCCATCCCTAGGTACCACCCCTAGGCTGGTGGCCCTGGGTTCTATAGGAAAATAGGCTGAGCAAGCCTTGGGGAGCAAGCCAGTAAGCAGCACCCCTCCATGGCCTCTGCATCAGCTCCTGCCTCCAGGGTCCCGCCCTGCTTGAGTTCCTGCCCTGACTTCCTTCCCTGATGAACTGTGATGTGGAAGTGTGAGCCAAATAAACCCTTTCCTCCCCAACTTGCCTTAGGCCATGGTGTTTTGTCACAGCAACAGAAACCCTAAGACATTACTCAAGGCCCTGTTCTCCCAAAGACATTTCCTTGCTCAAAATTGGTTGTGGGGTTGGCGTGTGCAGTGGTTGCCTGGTGTCTGCAGGGCCCTGAGTTCATTGCCCAGCAAGAGAGAAATAGCACTGTGCTGTCTACTCATACGGTTGTTGGGACTTAAGAGGAAGAGGCAGACATGGGTGTCATGGCTCATCCTTGTCATCTCCAGCCACTGGAGAGGCTGGGGCGGGAAGATTGCCAGGAGTTTGCCTGGGTCACGCAGCTAGTTCCAGGCTGCTCAAGACTGCGCGCAGGGAAATCAAGTCTCTAAATAAAGAAATAAATAAGGAAGAGGCAGGCTGAGAGCCCTCAGTAACTACGCTGTTCTCGGCCTTGGTGACGCTTTCAGTGAATGCCAGCTGTTTTATCCTCAGCCCCACCACTCCCGGCAAGGTCCAAGAGCTATGTGCTCTGGGCACTCAATTCATTCTTCTCCACTAAGCGAGGCCACATCCACAGCATCCGGGATATAAACAGTGCACAAAACGGCTGCATTGCTGACCAGCTCTGCAAAGGCTGCCATGAATATATTCATCGCTGCCACGAATAAATTAATTGAAAGAAGAGAGGCTTTGTGAACACTGTTTACCCTGCACCCCGTTATCTTTCTTCATTCTCGCCCCCCGACTTTTGTGGTTGTGTGTGTGTGTGCATGCACTCACACATGTATGTACAAGTTCACATGTATGTGTCAAGATCAGAAGACAACTTGGGTGGGTGGGTCGGGGAGTTAGTTCCCTCTGTCCACCCTGTGGATCCTGGGCACCAAACTCAGGCTGTCAGGTTTGGTAGCAGGTACCTTTTTTTCCGTTCATTTGTTTTTTTTGAGACAGGGTTTCTCTGTGTAGTCCTGGCTTTCCTGGAACTCGCTCTGTAGACCAGGCTGGCTTCAAACTCACAAAGATCTTCTGCTTCCCGAGTGCTGGAATTAAAGGCGTGCACCACCACTACCTGGCTCTTATTAATTTTTAAATTACATTTATTTATCTATTTGTGCGTGAGAGAGCCTTCTCATTGGCCTCCTTTCTGCTTTTGAGACCTCAAACCTAGAGCAATCCCACTGTCTCAGTTCTTGGTTTGAGGTAGAGTCACTGTTTCCAACGGTCGGTGTCTGGATAGGGTGCTTCCGGGTTCTTGGTGTCTTACTCAGAGAGTTGAGAAAGAGGTACACACAGATTGGAAGATATCAACTGGAGCCCAGTCCCAGTGGACACATCTACAAAACAACTCCGGAACCGAAGTCTGAGGGAACATTCCAGAAGAGTGGGTGGAAAGACTGTAAGAGTCAGAGGATCGGGGAATTTGCTGCGAGATCTTTCTCCTAGGAATGTCAGAAGCCACACCCATAAAGTCTCACCAAAATGA